CATGATAGTTAATACCACTAACTTGTACACTAAAAATGATTAAGGCTGCGCGCAGTGGCTCATGACTGTAATCCTAGCACTTTGGAAGGATTGCTTGAGGCCAGGAACTTGTGACCAACCTGGGCAACATAGTGGGACTCTGTTTCTAAAACCTTAAAAAAAGAATTTTAGCCAGGCATGGTAGTGCATGCCTGTGGTCCTAGCTATTCTGGAGACTAAAGTCAGAAGATTACTTGAGGCTACAATTTTGCAGCTGCAGTATGCTCTGATTGTGTCATTGCACTTACGTCTGGGAAACAGAGTGAGATCTTGTCTCAAAAAAAAAAATTAAATGGTATGTGTTTTTTAAACCAAAATTTAAATTAATAGATAGCATTTCTGCAAGTAACTATTTCAGAGCTTTAACTCTAGCAGCCTCAAAGAAGACCTCAAAGTTAGATTTCAAATAGGAGTTTTATGGTGAACAGCCATGTGTGGCAACTGAATGCCAGTTTTCAAATCATACGTATCACATATCCTTTATTCCTAAAAAATGTTAGTGCAGATAAGCTTGTTGTGAACAAAGATGTTTCGGTTAAGCAAAGCAATCATTTAAGTAGCCATGCTTGTTAGCTTCAAGAATTACATTTTTATAACTAAACCAGATAAGGATGTTGATTTTGTGGGAAGAAGAAACTAGATAGCACATGAAATCCTAAACTATGTAATTTATCTGGTACATAATTTAATTTATGCAATATTCACTTAACCGTGTGCTTTGTTAATCACAGCTATAATGTTAATTTGAGAAAATATCTTCAGCATGTATTAATATTTTTAGATTAAAACACAATTACAGTTTCGCCATATGAACTTGGCACTACTATTGAATGAACCTGTTAATGCTAGGAAATCTAATTCTTGTATTGAAAAGGTAACAGGATTATTTATAATGATATAAAATAATCCACAAGATGATCTTGGGCATGAAAATAATCCCTGAATAAAGCGCACCTTCATTTCAAGGGGCTGACAAGATTAGAGGGGTGAATTACATGGAAATTGGGTAGTATGAAATGAACAATGGTGAAAGGGTGCTAAGTCAAGCAGATGGAAAGCGAGGCATAAAATACCTCATCATATGTATTCAGATTGTGCAGCCCTACCACTGGCAACTTCAATTTGAGGTAACATCAAGAAAGCTAGAAGTAGTATATTAGAGCTCCTAGCCTATAGAGATATGTGGTATTTTCTGAAATAAAAGCAAACTGTATGATTAACTAAATTAAAAGTTGCAAATGCAATAAGAAATATTCTTGATGCTAATGGCAGTCTAAATTTAAATAAATTTCTGCAGCATAAAAACTTCTTCATAATTCAAATGTTTGTTTTAGAATTAGATATAATGCTCTAAATCCTAAATCTACAGCAAAAAGCTTATGGATTCTGAAGAATGATAGCATGGATTCTATACATAAAACACAGGAATTAAAACCACTGTAACTGTTAGTTTTAATCTGCATCTATAGAACCCAATGTAAGTCCCATTAAACTTCGTTCTTTTTCCATGTTCTTTAAAAATCATACTTTTACACTATAATATAGTATATATTTTACTTTGAATGTATACTTTCACATGCATGGCTTTTTAGAAAGGAAATTAGATGAAATAAAGATATAGTTACTCCCAAGAGTAAACTCAGACCTGGAATTATGTTATGCATATTATTATTTAACTTAGTAAATGATAAATGTTGAATCAACAAAATATTGGTCTCTAGATTATTACATTTTACAGTAATGAAAGAGATGAATATGATTTGCATTTTCCTTTATTCCAGGAGGACTATATGTGCTAATCATTTGTTAAATTTTTGAAGACAATTCAGTTTCCTATAGAAATTCAGTAATGTAGAACTCTTAAAACATGTCAGAAATATCATCCTGTAAAGACATTCTCCATGAGTGCAGATCATTAATGATCACATATATGCTAATTATCTTATGAATAAAATACTAACAGCAATTAATGAATTAAGATCTGTATTATTTTAATATTTCATGGCCAACTTATCAAACACTGTTAACTCAAAATGTGATCCAGGAACACATCCCAAAATTCTCTTCAGTACTTTCTTTATCTTTAGGAGAGTTACCTATTACAGGAACAGACCCTAAATCCAGAGCATAAAGAGAATAATAACATGATTGCATAAAAGATAAAATTGTACTTTCCTTTTGCTACAGGGATGTTATTGCTGTCCCTGAAAGGGTCAATACTCTACATCTGATATTTACTAAAACATATCTTGGTTCTTAAAATAATATTCCACCTGTCCTTTCATGAGGAGGTCCAAGAATCAGAATTATACATTATAAATATGAAAAGAAGATGTCACTCTAGGGAGAATGAGTTCCATAAGTAAAATGTAAAATGCCAGGTGGAGGATTCAAAAGAGACAACATGCAGTTTTCCTAAGGAAAATTGCATAAACTTTTTGTCACTCTCAGCTTTGCCATAGCCTTATGGTTATTTCTTATATTACAGTCACTTTCAGGTTGCAAGATGATTTCAACGAACTCATCTCAATCCAGGGGCACCTAAAAGCTTCACAATCTAAAAATCCCTATATATGATTGCTACCTTATTTGGTGAGTCATGACAATAAATGGTGGGAAATTCAATATAGGAGGTGAATTCAAAATCGCATTTTTTTTTTTTTTTGAGACGGAGTCTTGCTTTGTCACCAAGGCTGGAGTGCAATGGCACGATCTTGGCTCACTGTAATCTCTGCCTCTCAGGTTCAAGCTATTTTCATGTCTCACCTTCCCAATTAGCTGTGATTACAGGTGCCCGCCACCATGCCTGATAATTTTTGTATTTTTAGAGGTGGGGTTGTGCCATGTTGGCCAGGTTGGTCTCGAACTCCTGACCTCAGGTGATCCACCCGCCTCGGCCTCCCAGTGTTCTGGGATTGTAGGCATGAGCCACTGTTCCAGGCCCAAAATTATCTCTCTAAAAAGTGTATTCATACCCAGTTTCCTTGTAATAGTAATACTTCATAATCACCTCTGCTCTTGTCATTTTCATTGTGTTATACTTGAGTAGCTTAAGCTGTACCTATAACTTTGCCTGGCACACAGGAAATAAATGCTCACTAGATGTAGATATAATTACTATTGAGCTTCAATTACAAGTACTAATTAATCTGAACTAGCAGGACACCTGATGGAAATTATTTACACAATAATATAGTCTGGTAGATAGGAGGCCCTTATTATCAAAGTCATGAATGAAATAAATATATTTACACCCCTACTATATTTATTTCATAGAAGGTAAGAATTTAACGCACATTTTCTTCCTCAGAATAACAGTTGATCCCCACCACACTTTACTCTACACATTGTACTGCCGTGTCCTTAAAATTAGTTCAAAATAAATAAGCTAAGAGATAGACAAAAATTCTAATTGCACTACTGGTTATAGAATGTAATGATAGAGTTGGGTATATATTATACTGTTGTGATAGCTATAATACATAAAGGTAACAACTAAACAATTCAATTGCACTATTGGAAATAAATGCTTTTGCTATGATGCAAATTAAACAAAGCCTACATAGTTTAATCCTTGCAATTTGGTGCTACTTTGCCAATGGGCATGAAGATGAAAAAAGTAAATTTTTAGTAATTGTTAAAAAAGACCCTTGGCAGCCACAGACAATTCTTTGTCCCACCAATGGTAATATCTTCAATGGAATAAAGGAGGTATGAGAGACACTTTTAGAATTCTTCTCAATATTTTGTTATTAAATCATTCTATGCAGGACTCTGGGAGGTGCCTTTAGAGCTTTAGGTGTTTGGTGGAAGGCATCTCAATGCTCAAAGGACAAGTTAAGTTCAATATTTATTTATTTGAGGAAGAAAATGCACATTACATTCTTTACCTTCTATTAAATACTGTATCAATAAATATGGTGTAATATTTATTCAGAAGTAAATATTAATTTAAGAAAGCTATGGAGCATTATTCATTTGAGATAATATTTTTAAATCATTGATGTATTAAGTTTGGATTTTCATTTAATGAAATCAACTTACATTTTATTTCAATTGTATAAATTTGCTTTTGCCAAATGTGCTGTTGGACTTAGCTTGCTATTAATTAAAGGTATCAAAAATCAAATCAATACTAAATAAACATTGAGTTGTAATCTTTTTATAAAATCTAAATCACAAAATCTAGGTATACATTAACTTATTAATCCATCAGTGGCACTTAAATGCAAAATAAATTTATTTCCAAATTACTTTCAAGCGGATCATGATTTGAAAAAACCTTTCGTAATATTCCAGACTATGACCTCAATATTTCTGAAAAGTGGTGCATAATCATTAGTTGATATTTTTTTTCCCTTGGCATGTAAGAGATACCAAGTCATAAAAGGAAATTAAAAAATAAAAAAATTGCCCAGGTACAAGTGTGCATGTGAGCATGTGTGAGTATGTGCCTGTAACATAAAAATAAAACCCTTTGCCTTATTCATGACCACCGTGTTTTACTCAACAAAAGTTTGTTGAAAATTTACAAGAACAAACAAACAAAAACAACCCCATTCAAAAGTGGGCAAAGGACACGAACAGACACTTCTTAAAAGGCATATATGCATCCAACAAACATATGAAAAAAATCTCAGCGTCACTGATCATTAGAAAAGTGCAAATGAAAACCACCAGCCAGAATGGCTATTATTAAAAAGTCAAAAAACACTAGATGCTAGTGAGGTTGTGGAGAAAAAGGGATGCTGTTGGTGGAAGTGTCAATTAGTTCAACCACTGTGGAAGACATTGTGATTTCTTAAAGACCTAGAACCAGAAATAGCATTTGACCCTTAACCCAAAGGAATAGAAATCATTCCATTACAAACGTACATGCACTCGTATGTTCATTTCAGCACCATTCACAATAGCAAAGACATGGAATCAACCTAAATGCCCATCAGTGATAGATTGGATAAAGAAAATGTGGTGCATATACACCATGGAATACTATGTAGCCATAAAAATGGAAGAAGATCATGTCCTTTGCAGGAACATGGATGTAGCTGGAAGCCATTCTTCTCACCAAACTAATGCAGAAGCATAAAACTAAATACCACATGTTCTCACAAGTGGGAGCTGAGTAATCAGAACACATGGACACATGGTGAGAGAAACAACACATACTGGGAACTATTAAAAGGTGGCAGGTAGGAGGAGGGAGATCATCAGGAAGAATAGTTAATGGATGTCGGGCTTAATATCTAGGTGATGGGATGATCTGTACAGCAAGCCACACGTTTACCTATGTAACAAAGCTGTACATTCTGCACATGTAGCCCCTGAACTTAAAATGAAAAAACCCACAAAAGTTTGTTGAACAAAAAACTGCATACATGAAATATGTAAAAGTACAGGTACTTATTGGTAATTATACCTCCGTCATTTTTTACATGCTCGTGTACAGAACTGGAGGATTGGGAGTGAGAAGTATGAAAATAAAAAATATTATCCAAATAATTTGTATCATCTCACTGAAATGATCACAGATTTTTCTATAAATGGTTATTACCTCAGCTGCCAGATAAGAACCCTGAGGTGCAGAGAACTGAAGTGACAAATTCCATGATACACACAGAATGTGTGTAAGTATGGATATTGAGTTTGGACCCAACTTTTTAGTCCCTGTCTTAGACTTCTTTCCAAAGTGTGTACCATGACCTTTTATGACATATTTTCTATGCCAGTTCAACTGTACCTCTTAGATGAAATAGACAGCAGTAGATCAAATATCCTAGTTTTCTTGATTTTGATTCATTCTCTTTCTTTTACATCTATCCATCCATCCATCCATCCATCCGTCCATCCATCCATCCATCCATCCATCCATCCATCCAACCATCCATCTATCCTATCATCATCATCATCATTGTCATTACCATCATGTGTTTTTCCTGAGAATTAGAGCACATATACAGAAGACAATAGAGATTAATGAATTATTGTAAAGCAAACACCCAGGTAACTCCCCTCGGGTCAAGAAAGAGACTCTTGCCAGCACCCAGGTTTCCCTCTTGTGCCACTTTCTATTTCAAATGGCTGTTCTCCCTCCTGGAGGCAACCCCTCTATACTAACATTTGAGGTCCCCTTTCCTTGACTTGCTGTGAAACTCTTTATAGTATGTGCTTCTAAATGATGTAAAACAGTTTTGTCTGATTATAAACGGTTTTTAAAAAGAATCACAGGGTATGTATTATTCTTGTTTTACTTCTTTCACTCCACATTTTATTCTGCTGTGTGCTCATTCTTTTCCATCGTTGCATGCATTCATTGCATAGGTATGTTACATTTTATTTATCCATTCTACCTTGGATTGACATTTGGTGTGTTTTCTTAATGCTCTTTTTAACTAATGTCCCTGGCTTTTTTGTAATATTTATTCAACAGGAAAAAAAAATTCCACATCAGAATTTGATGATGCTGTTTTTATCTAGGGTGGTCTTCTAAAATTCTAAAGAATGAGAAGCAGAATGACACTAAATATAGTCATTGAATATACATTATAATTCATTTGTTATTATATATGACACTAGAGATATTTAAAGAAATTCAAAATGAACTACTGTACAAATTTGCATTTAGTACTGTTAAAATAAATTGAGTAAATGCAATACAATCTGAAACAACCGCTCCTTCACAGTTAGAGGTGAGCAGTGATTTAGTTAATATTTGAATGTACTAATTCATATTTCTCAATATAAGAATCTGAATTACTCTCAGAAGTTCTTCCATAGCTACTAATTCTATGACTTACTGGACTTTTCACAGCCACTGAAAACTCAGAATCAAATTCACCACGAATGTTGCAGTTATTCGAAGGGAATATTAAACAGGAGAATGAAAATAATAAAGTGAACTTATGACAAGTTTGGATGAAACACTGAAATATTTCCTATGATTTAGAATATATTTAATGTAAAAGAAACTATACTATCTGAGATAGCTCTATTTTGAGTTATCTCAGATAGTATAACTCAAATATATCTGAGATAATTATCTGAGATAATTCTATAACTCATATTACCAGAAAAAAGAATAAATAGCATCTACCATATATTTACCTTTTTTTACAACTTCGTCCTTAATTCTGACTGCAAGAATAAGAAAGTGTATTTGAATAGTTATATAACAAAAAGAGTGGTTAGTGCAGGCTAGTATATTCTGTTTTAAGTGATATTAAATATTTATTCTATTCATTTAAAAAATATCAGTTAAACTTTCAAAAACATATCTACTACTATTGCATAAAAATGAATTATATAATATGTTTGCTGGTTATAAAATAATTAAACACATTTAAAAAGTATTTGGATAAAACTGCATGTAGTCTCTTTTTTACAAAAGAAACCATTTTCAATTTTAATCTTACTCTTTAAAAGAAATAAAAATCATGTTGAATTCTTAACCATTAATTCAGCAGTTAAAATATATAAATACATTTCCACTTCCCTAAAACAAAACAGACAACAGTCCCCAAGGAAACCTAGCAATGGGTTTAAGGCAATAGATTTGTTTGTAGAACAAATGTATGTGCAGCTTTCTGTAAGTTTCTTCGTGCTCTTTCCCTATCCTATCACCTCGTTTCCTCCTTTCAGGGCTCAATGCTGGAGTAATGCCGCCTGGCTACATAAAGCCCCCTAGCACAGATAACATACTTTTGTTTATTTTAATAGGAAAACAGAAATTTCAAAATTGTAAATAGAGAAATACCATGATTTCTTATATGCATGAGTATCGTTATGTAATACAGACTTATAAGTATTATTTATTTAACTGTAGTCTATTCTGAGACAATTTTTGCCTCATTTTTAAATCATGGGTTAACTGAGTTCATTCTGAAGTTGAATAAATGATACTACTTCATTTCTAAGATAGTTCTTTAAGGAGTCTGGAAAACATGTCATAATAGACTTGCATTTAAAACATCCACTTGTAAAACTAATTTAAATAATTTTTATCTCTATTCTAGACTGACTTGTCTACCTTTCTATTCCGGGCTAGACTGAATTTGAAACAATTTTGTCCATAGATAGCATAGATAAGATCAAACCCTGACCTAATCCTAGACTCACTTAGTTGTTTCCATTAAGCACTGTTCTGGGACATGGTTGCTTATTCCGATGATGTCTAGATCCACTGACATAGGACAACCACGCATTATTACAGACAACATCTGAGATTGTGATGGGCTGAGGTGGGTTAGAACTTGTCAACCAAAGAAGGCATTAGAACGCCTTGACTGTGCTTCCAGTTTAAGGTCTTTGGGATGGATATGGTTTCTCCATAACTGTCTTTTCCCAAAAGCACTGAGACCCAAGATAGAGAGATGGTTTGGTTCTGTTTGGTCCATCTTGTTTTTAAAATATTCTTTGTAAAATTTAACCCAGACAACTGTCACAACTGCTATTTCTGTAATGTCCCCTACTCACTGCCTCCCCATTCATCACCTCCACAACAATGGCCTTCTCTCTTGGTTATCAGATACCAAATTAGAACTAGCCTGTAGTTTCTGCCTCCTTTTGGAGCTAGTCCAAGAATGTTGGTGTCCTCTGGAGAGATCTTGATTTTGCATTTCATCTCTCCTGTGTCAGCATGTGCACAGAGGTGCATTTTAATTCCCTGCTGAGAGCACACTCTCAAAGCAACCTACTGTGGTTATAAATATCCAATTATTTGTGAACTATCGTAATATTTATTCCTGAGATTAACTGTTGTTTTCAATACTTAAAAGTTTAATGTAATAAATATTTAATATCACTGACAGGATATTTATTTATGTCTCACCTTGTTGCAAAAAGAATTTGTGCATAGTTAGTCAGAACTGTAGCTAACACTGACATTACTTAATAGTGAAGTCAATGTATTGTTTGGATGTCCCAGAAATGAGTATTTTTGTGGACTCACAAAGGGTTAGAAAGTCCTCTTATCCTTCATCATGTTTATTACCCTATTAGCTACACATTAGAAATTAGTTAGCTGATAGAAATATTACCCATAATCAGGTAATGATAATAACAAACAATATACTTCAATAATTAAAATGAAAAGGCTGAATAGTAAATTTTTATTTTCATTGGCTCACATACTGAAAATGTAGAGAAATCATTCTGATTTAGCTATTTTTTCTTCATCTGCTCTAATATATTAGGTGTTTGCCTGTTTGCTTTTTAACATTCACCATATATAACATCCACTTGTAACAGAAAACTGAATATGAGCTCAAATCTGCAAAAAATTGAATAGCTTAACATTACTGTGCTGCACTTTGCTGCGATTGTTATGAAAATAATATATTTTCATCAATTTCAAAATGTTATACAAACTCTGCAGCAGAAGTTTGTACATATTATATATTTTTATTACATGTATTCTACAACATATTCAAAGCTGTCTCCCACATTTGCATTGACTGTAAATATTCTCTAGTGGCTTCAAGTCACCTTTATTTGTCAATAATTTTTTGTATCTGATACCCTCAAATATAAAATAAGCTGTGAACTATTCTTTTTATTTTTAATCTTCCAAATTATAGAGATTTTTATGAACAGAATGAATGTTAATTTTTATGCTCTGAAATATTTAAATTGTTGCATTTTAATTAGAAAACTCAATTAGAAACATTTTGGATTTAAAATACATATATATATACACACATATATATATACACACACACACACATATAAATACATATACATATATACACATACATATATATAATAAATGGACAATAGTCCTTCATAATAATGAAAATTAAAAATGTCTACACCCTTCTTTAGATAACAAATGACAGGATAATAAAGATGCATGCCCATTCTTCTCTCTTACATCTTTAGCTATTTTTATGGATTAAGATATTTCTCCCCTGCTCTATTGAAAGATTAGGTGTTGCATGCTCTTCCTTTAAACTTAGAGCCAGGTGAAGCATTTTTCCTATATGCCCATCATGATGACCTTTGTATCCTTTATATATTTTCTTCTATATTGAGATTATCCATTTTTTTCTGTGTCTCATGGCAGGTGGCAAGATCCTTAAGAGGAAGAACTCTGTTTTGCTTCTGGTTGTATCTGCTATACCTACCACAGTCACTGGTATAATACTTGTTGAA